TTCACACTGAGAGCAATTTTTTTAATTCATGAATCCGAGCTTAGTTTTTAGTCCGAAAGTAGTTTGTGATTTGCACGGATCCAAATTATGGATGTGGTATGAGAAAGTTTACATTTGCATTTACGTAATATTTTCATATTTTTTAAAACAGCGTCGTTTGTGCGCTGTCTATATCTACATTACCTTATGAAGTGTGCTTGTATTAAAAATCGTAATTTACTTATAACAGATTAACTGGTATGAAGTGTTGATGATTGGGTATAGAAATGCCGAAGAAATTTACGGGTGAAAATTCAAAAGCAGCGGTGGCAAGAGCTCGTAAAGATGCTGTAAAAAAAGAAGAAGCTGAAAAAAAGAAGAAAGCTGTTGAAGATGCTTATTGGCAAGATAATGACAAAAATATTGCTCGTAAACAACAAAGAAAGGTCATTGTTTCCTAATTTTGCGAGATTAGTTATTTTCAAATAAAATTGCTATTGTTTTATTAGTAGCTTTGCATTACTGTAGATTTTTTTCTCGTTTTAAAAGTAAGAAGCGTAGACGTTGTTTTGCTTACTTCACTATACATGTTTTCAGTTTTATTGAGCTATAATTATTTGACATTTTTTTCATTGTTATTTCAGGAAGAAGCAGAACGTAAACGTTTAGAAACCTTGCAAAGGAAACATGAGAATCGATTAGCGCATGATCTCGAATTGCAAGCGCTCTCATGCAAAGTAGTAGAGCCTTCTAAGGTTGTTGTTGGATTGAAATTCTAAAATATATAATTTAAATTTGGGTACGGTATAAAGTCATTTTGTAGCCGTTTTTTAAACTTCCAATATTTCATTGTTTAGTGCTGTCAGACTCTTATGAGGTAAAACAGGTATGATTTTTGAACATGCTGAAGTTTCTATAGTTTCACTACTTTTCTCGGATAAGAAACCATCATACAAAAATTCTCATATCCAGGCAATGAACACTTTTGCTACGAATAAATTAAATGCAAAAAGAATTTTAAGGTGACACAAGCATCTATTGAAGCTCGCAAACGTGCTGAAGAGGAAAGAAAGCAGAAAGAAGAGAAAGAACATTTACTAAGGATGCAACGTTTAGAAGTCGAAAAGGAAGATATTGAGGAAAATGTCAACTTGCTGAGAGTACAGAAGTTTTTACCCCTACCTTTGCTTTTTATCAGATTTAAAATGCAAATTTTAGATGCGTATTAATCTTAAAAGACAGCCTTTTTTTTTTGCCTATATATCTTGCTATTTTGAGTAAGCCTATTTGATAATTAATGTTATAGTCTCATTAATTATCAAATATTTCTTATAATTTCTTCATAGAGGTTTTTTGGTTTCAAGTCGTTC